AAGGGGTTATAAACATCCCCAAATCTTAAAGCTAGGGGACCACTTTCACGTGTTCCTCTGTTGCTTACGTCAGTTAGTCTTGGCATCATTTCCCACACTAACAAAGCGTAATCTAAGCCCACAGGTATGTGTTTACCCTCCATACAGGTTCTGGGTAGGACAGTCATGGGAGTTTGGAGTGATGCCTTCTGGACTGTTGGTAGCATTTCCCCCATTGCTCCACAGATCCTTATGCTGATCAGCAGCCGGTGAAAGCAATTAAATGGGGTAGGGCCTGAGGGAAAGCATAAAGAATATCCTAGGGAAAGGGCACTGAGAAGGTCCACGTGCTGATGTGACACCTGCTGGAGCGTGGAGTCCTCTTAAGGGCGAGTTGGAGCAGCTCCACAGACAGGACTTCCTTTAAAGATTGTCTCTGCACCACCCGTCTATAACCTACTCCAGCGAAAGTGAGCACATGAGCTCAACAGCACGGAAGATGTGCGGTGAGATCAAGTGCGTAGGGGCAGCCAGTGTTCAGTGTATTGTACGTGGAAAGGTATGATGTGCACTTGCCCCAGCAAGCCTGGATGGGAGATACCTATTCTAACTATTTAACTCTCTGCTTGGCTGTCTGTCTATCTGTCTGTCTGTCTTGAGGCACGTTCTCACTGTGAAACCTTGGCTGGCCTGAAGCTTGCTATGTAGAGCAGGCTGGCCTCAAACTAATAGAGATACACTTGACTCTGCCTCCTGGGTGTCTGGCCACACTATTAAGATATAATGTGATCCACCCTTTGATCATAGAATCCATTCCCACAGAGTTCTCATGGATGAACAACGTATTTTCCCCAGCGTACAACTTGGAATTTCTGCAAGAAGTTCCACAAGTGCTTACCCCGACTACTCCACTGTCTGCCGGAGACTGGTCCAAGGCCAGGGAAGCTTTGGGGTCCTCTGGTGAAACACTGCTTCCCTTTGATCATAATACAGGCTCAGAAAAAAATGGGTGCAATGCAGCAAGAGGAGCTGGTAGCTGTCGCTCACGGAGACAATCACCATGGCTTCCTGAGGCCATGGAAGACTGAGCTTTTTAGCAATGCCTCTTCCTCCACATTTAGGCAATCAGACAAGAAGAGTCAAGGTGAGCAAGCAAGAGACAGATAGGAGGTTTAATCAGAAATGCTTCCTTTGGTGAGCCCTTTATGCTAGAATCCTTCAGAAAAGAATCAGGAATGAGATTCCGGCCCTCACTCACAGGCTCTTAGGGAGATGGGCATATGCGTCAGCTGCTAGCAAGGCAGAGCTCTGTAAGGGATTTAAGATGGCGTATGATTTGGGGAGGGCACAGCAGATGGAAAACTCCTGGGGAAATAAGAGAACTCACGGTTCCCCTGCAGGCAGGAGCCCTGACAAGGGGAGACTGATAAGAAGTAAGACACAGAAAGGTGAAGAGCCATCCTGCAGCAGGCTATGCAGGCAAAACCCTGCCTCCCAAAACTCAAAGTGGATGGGACCCAAGGAACAACACCTGAAATCAGCCTCTGACCTTCACATGAACATTTAAATATGTGCATGTGTACTTGAACATATATGGACCTATACACACATGAACACACACATACAGAGAGAGAGAGAGAGAGAGAGAGAGAGAGAGAGAGAGAGAAGCCAAATCCTAGAGTTGAGGTTGCAAAGTGAGTCTTCATCATATGCTTGTCCCCCTTGACTTTGTACTTTGTTTTCCTTATTTTATCACTTGTCACTACACACAATACAAGGACCAGCAACTGAACGCTATTTGTCTGTGGCTCTGTATTGGTTAGTTTAAATTTTGCAGTGCTTAAAATTCTACAACATGGCCAGCAGAAGAGTCAGGCTCGTGTTTTCTTTGGGACCATGCTTAAACAGTAAATAACATTCTCCGTGGGGCTGGCCCAGTGGATAAACTGACGTCATTTAGAGAGCATCTCTGTCATTAACCATATGCTACATCTGAACTTGGGGTCAAGACTTTAGCAGAGCTTCTACCTGTGGACTGAAGTCTTTAAGAATGTCCACGCGCTGGGGCCAAAGGTCAGCCAAAGAGTGTCCCCACTGTCATGAGTACCTGAGCCCTGTTGACTGGCTTTTCAGAAACAGACTGACCGCAAGTTCTGGTTCTTTGCCAAAGCCATTAGCACAATGGTGTCAGTTACACCATTTGGAGCTAGACAATCTTCATAAAGAACTCTACAGGCAGGAAGGTGGAGATGACCAGCGGTTAAAACATCTCTATGAAAGCATGAGTTTAGATTCTCAAATAAATAAATAAACAAACAAACAAACACATAAATTCTGGGTAGTCACGGCAGCCCACTTTGTAATTTCTGCTTAAGAAGGCCGAAAGAGTATTCCAAGAGCGAGGTGGCTAGACAGGCCATATCAGTGAGCTCTGCATTTGGCTGAGAGGTCCTTCCTCTGTAAATAAGGTGGAAGAGCAATTGCAGTTGGTGCCCAACAGCAACTTCAGGCTTCCACACGCTCACACACATGTGCACTCATCCACATGGCAAAAATGTGTATACACACAAAAACAGAGATAAACGAATCTCATGGGCAACACACAATCTGTGCCTGGCCTTGAAGAACTGATTCAACTCCAGCAACTTCTGTTTCCTTGCCTGTAAAGTAGGGGTGATGACAATTCCCTAGTGGGGTTATTGGGGAGCAGGTCCAGGGGTTAAAAGCTGAAAAGTGATTGACAAGGAACGCTCGCTGCTGTCCTGTGCCTCTCAAGGGAGAGAGAGCCTTCCTGGAGAAGGACGGAAGATTGAAGAGAGCAGTGGGTCCCCAAATCCCCTCACTTCTGAAGAAAGACGTGCCTAGTTTGGAACTCTCTGATCAGCCTACGCTTTGCAGCCAGCCCACGTGAGTTCTCTCTGTGGTGAAGTACAGACTTCCTCCTGTGGCTGCTCCTTGCTGGCTCTACAGGTGCCCCTTTCTATACCTGTCTCCTGGGAACTCTGAGATCTGGGTTCAAGCTACCTCCTACAAAATATCTGGGTTCCTGGGAGTAGGAGGCACCCCAAAGCATCTCATACTTGGTGTTCAGGCCTGGAGAGGGAGTCACACTGGAGAGTCAGGACCTGGGGATGGATGGGTGGGGATGCATAAAAGGTAAGAGAAAAATCTTTAAAATGTAAAATAGGTTTCTGAAGCCTGACCACAGAGAAACACTGGCTATTCACTGTGGAGGAGTCATCCAAAAAGAAAAACCAGCGGCAGACATTTGACTTCAGGGACACTTGCAGAACGTTTCCTTTCACTGGAACAAAGGCCACTGGGCTTTGAAGAGCCCTCAGAGAAGCAGCAAAGCTCTGAGAATCAAAACTTAGTGAGGATCAATGGAGCCTCAAGCAGGTTCTGAAGATCAGGGTGGGGCGGTCACATCCCCTCTCCTAATTTTACCAGCACAGTTTCAGAACCGCTCTAAGGGAAAGGGGTGGTACCTTGTGTTTCCAGCTGGCCCACGTAGGCAAGGAGCTCATAAGATGTGGACTCACAGAGGGAAACCATAGCAGTGGACCCGGCGAGCAGTTAGCGTGTGATGCTACCTGTGCCATTATTAACAGCAGCCACCCAAAATGGATCTCAGCCATATTAGCCCTGAGCTAATGAAGAAATACACATCATAAAAAGAAGAAATTACCCACATAATAAACCTTAGATCTCCCAGAATGAAGCCATTAGAAATTGATCCAGCTAATTGAGGAGCAGTTGAAGGCTGTGACCCCACTGAAAGCAAAACCAAGAAACATTTACAGATCTGCTCCCAATGAACAGCATGTGGAGGCCACACAGGTTGCCCTGACTCTGCTTCCCGAAAGAGTATGTGGGCAGAGGGGGTTCTTCAGAAAAGATGGGGCACATGTAATAGCTTCAACACAGGCCAGCAGGACACAATCTCTAAAGAGTGAACAGGGAAAATCTTTTTTGTAAATCTCCAAAATTATTTTATTTTGAGGTCCTTAATAATCATTATGGATGATGAATGTGATGATATAATAATAAATGCTCTTCTTAGGGAGAGCTAGCTTGTGTTTGCATTGTTGTAAGAACTCAGGGAGTTGGGTGGTGATGGCACACACCTTTTACCCCAACACTGATGCCTCGGGTTTTCATTTACCCCTGAGGCCAAACTAGTGGGGTGGCCAGACCTAAAGGCATACGTACACACCCATAGACATATATTCACATAGATTTACAACTCATATATGCACACACAGACACACAGTTGACACACATACATACTCAGACATACTCACAATGACAAACAACTCACACATACATCCTGATACAGTCACACATGCACATTCACATATCCACACATACAAACTCATGCATAACTCTCACAATACACACTTGCACATATAGATGTTTGCACATACACAGTCACATGAATATACACACACAGTAACACTCATATGTACACAATTCATACACATACTCTTATACCATACCACATTCTCAAACACATAGCACTCCTCACACATGTGTACACACATATATGTGTAAACCATTACATTTTCACACATGTACACACGTAGAAACTCCTACTTACACCCGGACACATAACGCTCTCACACGCTTGTAATTTTCCGCATGAGATAGGGACTCTACCCTTCCTTATCCCTAGTCCTGCTGTCGTCTGTATTTATTTTATAACCTGGCCTAAGCTCCCAGGCCCTAGCTCCTAACTGACTAGCAGCCTCACCTCACTGCCCTTTACCTAATTCTGAAACCACTTCTCTGACATTTGCTGGTCTCATGGACTGGATTGAATCCCATGAGCTTCAGGTAAGCATCTTGGCAGGCCAAGGCCAGCTCTCTGCCCTCCTGCCTTGGCAAAATGGAACTCCAGGATCCATTCCAGGCCCCAAGCCAGGATTAGATTTGGAAAGATTGTTCTGAGTCTTCCCATGGGGCAGTGGGAAAACTGGACAGCAGGCAGCCCACACCCATCACCATTCTGGGGCTCTTACCTCATTCACAAAGACCCAGTGGCTGTCCTTGGAAGCCAGGTTGGTCTCCACAGCCTGCAGAGAGAACAAGAACGTACATGAACAGAAGCAAGGCAGAAGCTGGCAGACACACAAGATGATAGCTGGGATGATATTTTATAAACATTGTTTCTGCAGAATTTTTTCCTCACAAAACAATTCCATTCCCCTGAGGCCCACGTTGGCTGCCTTGGCCACAAGAGAAACACATCTGAACATAGATATCTGATTTCCTCTGTCCTTCCATGCTCTCCTGCAATGGCCAAGAGCAAGGTTAGAGGCCCTAGACAGTCCTACAGACACCACAGATCACAGGTACAGTCAAAGTCTTCCTTCCCCAAGAATGCATGCAAATTCCTTTCCGAGGGGGCACTTAAGGATAGCATCATCATTACACAAAACTACAGAACTGGAAAACTGATATTTTAGATTTATGGCAGCTCGTCCTAAACTGCAAAGCTCCTTTGCATTCTCTTTAGGATCCACAGAGCTGGGTTCTTTCCAGTTACTGAGGACGAGGTCTAACCCCGCCACTCTCTCTGCTCTGTTTTGCTACAGCACTTGCCATTGTTGTGTGTGAAAGGTTACAACTGTATTGTTTGTTTCTATTATCTATTTTCTCTGTCAAGTTGGGACAAGGTGGGGACAAGACTAAAGTCTCACAGGCCACAGTTGTGTCCCAAAACTTTGTTCTGACACCCACATATAGTAGGCGTTCAATCAGCATAGCCTGACATATGAACAAGTGAGAGACAGCAGCAGGCAAAATCCAGTCCCTTGTTTTGTTTGCATGCTTTGAGCTTGTTTGTCCATGTGCTTGTTTGGTTTTGCTTTAATTTAAGAAAGGGTATTATACAGCAAAGACAAGTTTAAAACCCACTGTGTACCCAAGATAGCCATGAATTCCTGATCCTCCACCTCCAAAGGCCTAGGATTATAGGCATGCACCACCGTGCCTGGCTCTCTCGCATGTGTTTATGGGAGCTTTCTCTCTCCTTGAGTTAGAAAGCCAACAGACGGAAAGAGCTGGAAGGGACTGATGATTTGCAAGCATGTCCTGCAAGAACGTTCACGGTGAGCATGTGCCAAGAGCTTGCTGAGCACCGGGCACAGCGCCAAGCCAACTATGAACCTGGGAAAGCACTTTCAGATTTACTTCTTTTCTTTTTACATTTTTTTAACATTTTGGTAATGTAAATTTTTATTACTCTTGATTTTTAAAATATAGACAAATTAAGATGCTTAATTAAACTCACCCCATAATACTTTCTCATTTTAAAAAAATGTGCTAATGTCGTAAAAGCTCCCCATTTGTTCCTCCAGAATCATCCACTGGAAGCTGTCTGAAGTGACCCCTTCCAGAAGCTTCTACAGCCGTATCATACAAATACATATCTCCACATGCCTATCAGCCAGATGCTTTAAGTTAAAATCACTTTAAGAAATGCATATCAGGCAAAAATCTTATTGCTAACTTATCAATATATCAAATTTACATTTTCTTATCAGTATGTACAGAGGTGCCTGTTCTTAAGAAAGTAGGTGTAGTGGTGTCAGAGCCTACACCTGTAACTACAACCTGTGTGCGGCTAGCAAAGGTCTCAAGCATGCGTGGTGCTAAGGCACCTACACTATCAGAGTACAGAGCTCCGTGAGGGCCTTGCTCCATGGGAACAGATAAGTATGCTTGGGGAACACAATAGATCATGAAGATAAACATCATAGGGAGCCCAGGAGAATTTGAGCCCATCAGTCCTCAACAGAGACCCTCACAGGACACCAATTACAGTCAAAAAGCTTTTCCTGGACCACTCAGGGCTGAAGAACAGGGATTGACCTCTCTATAGCCTATGAGTGAGAGGGTACCAGGCTGTGAACCCCAGGCAAGAGTCTGAAATCGAAGGAAATAACCCTATCCATTATCATTTGTCTAGTGAAGTCATGCATAAAATACAGATAACACTTGCCCGTCTCCTGTCTGCAAAATTATGTAACCCTTGAGGCCAGAAAGAGGGAAATTCAGAGAACGAGGTTCATAAACGTACCAAGAATCTCACAGGAAGCAGAGATAAGAGGATTGTCTCTCCAGAGGTTCACCCTCGTTCTTCCATGTGCTTACATCTATCCTGTATCCTTTGGTCCCAGAAGCCTTACTCAATTAACATTGTATTCTCTTGGAAAACAGACCCCCGCCCAACCTCAGGAAGGAGGATCTTGGTACTGGCTTATGCCCTTGGAAGGAAGTGAGCCTCAAAGAGGCCAGAGGCATCTGAGTAACAAAGTGCTTGACCCTGAGATATTTCTCATCCCATACTGCAAGCCTGGAGAGAGAGGCTGTCTCAAGAGACACTGATAAGACCCAAGAGTCAATGTCTCTTGAGGACCCTGAAGTATGAGTGGTGAGAGGAGAGCACCTCAGGGTGGAGTCTTGGCCACCCAGCCTAGAGTCCTTCTCTTCTCTACACATAGACGGCCATAGATGTCTTTAGATATCTAAGACCATGGTGATAAGAAAAAAAACATACTGGACTGTGATCTAAATACTCTGAACACATTGCTGGGCCCTTGCTGAATTCAACCCCTAACCTTCCAGCATTTCCTTAATGCTCATTTTTCCATCAGCAACTTGCATATCAAATTAGCATATAACACAGAACTTGGAGGATTTCATAAGGTCCCAAAGGCTAGAATGCTAAACTGAATCTCAACAGGGTGAGGTCAATGAGGCTGAACCCAAAACAGAAAATAGCAAATGCTGAGATAAAATTGGAATGCATTAGAGACTAAAGACTGATGGAAAGGCTGAGAGTAGAGGTGCTGGTTCCACCCTTGGTGTTGATCTGAGTGAGCCACCCCAGCGATGGGAGAAACCTCACCCTAGATCCCAGGAATGAAGTGAGACAGTTTAAGGCAACAGCCACATGAGTGTCAAGGAACTCTTACTGAGCAGGACGGTAGAGGTGTCTAATCAAATGAAGAACTGTCTTGGGGAAGAGTTCAAGTTGCTCTTTGAAGTGGATTTACTAGTAATCAGAGAAGAAAAAACACAGCAGAAAAAAGTTTTCTACCCTTACAGGTAAGGCAAACAGGCTGCCTCAGTGTAACGAGGCCCATCAGAAGTCCCCCAGGGTTGGCAATGTCAATAGTGGCTGGGAAAGTCAGGAATGACTTGGAGGGTGACCGTGGGCGGGAGGCATAACCCCATGCTGAACTGACATCCACTGCAATGAGTTCCAGGCCAGACTACAGTAAGGAGTCCCCAGAGAGTGTTTTAAATCAGTCTAACTGGCTGAAAGCGGACACCTGCATAACACCCTCATGGTTTCCCAGCTCCGACCTGCACCTTCACACGCTGCAACTTTTCCCACAGAACCTATAGCTCCTTGAATATGAAGGTGCAGGTGCATTTGACAGCTGAGAGGTTCCAGCATTGCCAATGACCATGGGCAATTACTAGGAGATCCTAGCGAGTGTGTGGGAACACGGGTCTCCTAAGAAGTCTTCCTACCTGCTAGCAGACTCAGGCATGGAAGAGACTGGCAGAGAGAATTGATCAGAAAACCCCGCAGGAAGGCTGGCCAACTTCCCTGTCCTACTTTCCCTCACCAATTAAGCAACAGCTAATTTGTTAAGCCTCTTTTTCCCACATCAGATAAATAGCACTTGGATACAGCCTTTTTTTCTTCCCAGAGGGCACAGCTCACACGGAGACCAGGATGGGTGGTAAGAAAGGGCAGCTACTGCAGACTGAGCAAAGCTACACTTGCCTCCCTTTGCAATGAGTGGAGAGCTGCCAGCTCCGTGGGATGAGGGGAGGGTCCCGCTCATCACTGCTGGTTCCCCTTCTAAGTGCCAACCTCTCTCTTCTCCTCCCACGTATGTCTGTAGCAGATAGAAACAAGTCCTTCTCTCAGCATGGTGCGAGTGTGGTACAGGGGAGCCTTTGCTATCTGCTCCCTGGTGATCTGTATCACCTCCCCAAGCACATTTTTGTGACCACCAGCCCTTGAGTACCAACCATGCTATGGTGTGCTACCTAAAGCCCCTCACACCATAGTGGGATATTTGATTACCCAAACTCCCGGTGTGCTAATTCTCAACCACAGACACCCAAGATTCCAGCTGCCAGAACTGTTCATGGCACTCATGATTACCTGGGAATTTATACCCTAACCAAGAACTGAGGCTGCCACGGATGCAGATCCAGCTGCCTTGTCCCCTGGTGGGGATGTCTCTCAGTGTCATCTCAGCTGTTCCCGGAATCCAGCTACAGAATACGGTCACAATTATGTCTCTTGGCATCCTTCATTTCCGTGCTCCCCATCTCCAAGTTCCCGCTGACTTTCTTGTTTGAATTCCTCTGAGAATACTCCATAAATAATTGTCATCTGATTGCTCCTCTCCAAGTCTGCTTCTGGGATCCCAATCTGAAATGAACAGCTCTAGCCTGGGGTAATGTTAAGAATTAAATGACGTTATGTGTCATTTTACCAATCTAGAAAGGAGTCTAGACATGATCAGTCGTTGCAAAAGTCCTCCTCTTTCCGTTGCCCTGCTTCTTCTGCCTTGGAGTCATTCTGGGATCTCTTCCATCATCATTCCGGAGCCTCTGCCACAGGCACAATCCCTCATACCTTCTTCCCTTTCTCAACAGACAAGAACTGCCAAACATGCCTTGACATCTGTCCTGATGCTGTTAAACTCCACTAAATGCCATGCCTCTGCCATTATAGGGTCAAACAGTGATTTGGGGAAAAAAATACCATGTGTGCAGCCTTGAAAAGTGGTAGGTGATGTCTCCTCCATATTCCCAGAGGCCTCAGAGAAACCCAGTACGTTATCTCCCCTCTCTTGCCCAACATGGGATTCTCCAGCCACATAGCACTGCGGGCGTCTACAGAGAAGAGCTGAATCGGATACATTGATGGCAGCTCCTATATTCTGCAGGTGTGTATTTGGGGTGTCGGTGAGATAGCCCCGTGCTCAGAGATGACCTTCTCATTCAAGTGGCAAGTTGGTTAGGTTTCTCCCTGGAG